CTATCTCTTTTTTCAATGTCCTATTTTTTTTTTCTGAATACATGTATTTTACCTCCTTATTTGAGCTTATTCTTAGCTTAACTTAATTTTTGTGTGTGTGTGCAATGGTAAATGAGATTATTTTTTAAATCTCTATTTCTGTAGGTTCGCTATCGGTATATAAAAATGCCTTAGATTAATTGGTGTTAATTTAGTATAATGCTACATTGCCAAATTCAGTTATTAAGTCTAACGAATTTTTTATGGAATCTTTAGGGTTTTTTTTATGTACAGTATCATGACATCTACAAATAATGACAGTTTTGCGACTACTTTTCCAATTTGGATACCATTGATAACTTCTTGTCTAACTGCTATGGTTTGCACTTCCATGTTGAGCAGGAGTGGTGAAAGTGTGCATCTCTGTCTTGTTCCTATTCTTAGATAAAATGGTTTTGTTTTTGCCCATTGAGTATAATGTTGGCTGTAGGTTTGCCATATAAGGTTTTTATTATGTTGAAGTATGATCCCTCTATTCTCACTTTGCTGAGGGTTTTTATCAAGAAAAGGAGTTAGCTTTTGTCAAATGCTTTTTCTGCATTAATTGTATGACTGTGTGGTTTTTATCTCTCAATTTATTTATATGTTCTATTATGTATATTAATTTGCATATATTGTACCATCCTTGCATCCCAGGGATACCTACTTGGTCATGGTGTGTGGTCTTGATGGTAATACTGGATCTGATTTACTAGAATTTTGCTGAGGATTTTGGCATCTAGGTTCATGAGGTATATTGGCCTCTAATCCTCTTTCTTTGTGTTGTCTTTGTCTGGATTTTGTATTAGGGTAATGTTGGCTTCATAGAATGAGCTTTGAGGTTTAACTGTCTCTTGAATTTTTTTGAATAGTCTGAGGAGAATAGCTTTAGTTCTTTAAATATTTGCTAAAACTCCCCTATGATGCTGTCTGGCCTCAGGCTTTTGTTTGCTTGAAACTTTATGATTACTGCTTCAGTTTCCTCCATAGTTATTGGTCTATAGAGATTTTTAAATTATTTATGATTGATTTTGGAAGCTTGTATTTTTCTAGAAATATGTCCATTTCCTCTAGGTTATCTAGTTTGTAGTAATGTATTTGTTCATGGTATATTTTTACAATCCTTTGTATTTCTGTGGGGTCTGTTGTTATTTTGCCCCTTTCATTTCTGGTTTTATTTATATGGTTCCTCTCTCTTTGCTTCTTGGTTAACCTGTCTAGACATTCCTCAATCTTGTTTATATTTTCAAAGAACCAGCTCTTGGTTTTATTGTTTTTTTTAATTGTTTTTGGACCTATGTCATTTATTTCTGCTCTGATATTTATGATCTCCTTCCTTCTGCTCACTCTGGGCTTTTCTTGTTTCTCTCTTTCTAATTCTTTAAGTTGTAAAGTTGGATGATTTATTACAATGTTTTCTTCCCCCCACCCCTTTTCTCTCTCTTTCTTTCTTTCTTTCTTTCTTTCTTTCTTTCTTTCTTTCTTTCTTTCTTTCTTTCTTCTTTCTTTCTTTCTTTCAAGTAGTCTCATAGAGCTATAAACTTCCCTCTCAGGAATGCTTTCACTGTGCCCCATAGATTTGTGTTGTTATGTTTTTTTTTTTTTTTTATGTGATATTTTTTAAATTTTTATATTTATTTATTTATTTATTTATTTATTACATATTTTATTGATTTTCCCCCCTCCCTCCTTCCCACAGATCCCCTCCCTCCCCAGAGTTCCACGTCCATTGGTTGTACTTAGATGCATATAGACAAGTCCTTCAGTTGATCTATTATTTCCCCCAGATCTTCCTCCCCTCCCCGCTGAAATTTGACAATCTGCTTGTTGCTTTACTGTCTCTGTATCTATCTTTTGGTTCATCAGTTTATAATGATCTTTATTATCCACAAATGAGTGAGGTCATGCGGTGTTTCTCTTTCATTGATTGGCTTATTTCACTCAGCATGATGTTCTCCAATTCCATCCAGGTTGCTGCAAATGATGAGAATTCCTTCTTCTTTATGGCAGCATAGTATTCCATTGTGTAGATGTACCATAGCTTTTGGATCCAATCATCTGCTGACGGGCACCTAGTCTATTTCAAAATTCTGGCTATTGTAGATTGTGCTGCTATGAACATAGGGGTGCATATATCCTTTCTGATTGGTGTTTCTAGTTTCTTGGGATATATTCCTAGGAGTGGGATTACTGGATCAAATGGGAGTTCCATTTTCAGTTTTTTGAGGAAATTCCCCACTGTTCTCCACAGTGGTTGCACCAGTCTGTATTCCCACCAGCAGTGCACGAGGGTTACTTTTTCTCCACAACCTCACCAAATATAATATTTGTTATGAGATTTTGCTAGTTATTGTTTATTAGGTTAAATAGTTACTTAATAATTTGCATGTGTTGGATAATAAAGGGTGTTTTTCTGTATTTGTTGATATATGAATGAGGATTTTTCATTTTGTAATATGGTAGATGATATTAAACAAGTTTTCTAATATAAATCATCTTGACTTCTTGGAAATACATATATACATTTCTATCACAATGCTGTAATTATATTTTAAATAATTGCTAAATTTAATAACATTTATTTTAGAAATTTGGCAGTTATAGTAACTGAGTTATCTGTGAATTTCTTTTCTTCTACCGTTATTTCCAATATGTTATTATGGGTATAGTAGGTCCCTAAAAGAGTTGCAGGCCTTTTGCTCTCTTAATATTTCCCATACATTTTGTTACATAAATATTTATAAAACTTGCCTTACATGTAATATTTATGATATTTAATTTGATAGGTAAATGGAAAATGAATGTACATCTACAAGTGTGCCTTCCCTACTATGCTTTTTTTCATGTGCTTAACAACCTACTAAACTAGAATATTTTATTGTTACTCCCAAACTCATAATTTGTAGGTTACACTGCTATTTTCAATCCATATTTTTTTCTTCTCATTAAAGGTTCTTCTTATTTTTTTTAATTGGAATTTAAAATTCAGTTGTTATTGACTCTTCTTTCCAAAGCTAAAACTTATCAACTTCTTTATTTTTTCCTCCGAATCCAACCAGGCACTTTTAAAAACGTAGAAACCTCTTTCTTACCACCTACTTAGATATTATTTTCTTTCTCATGTGGTTGATTCTTTCTTAGTAATGCTTCTTAAAACTATCATTATTTTCTTGTCAGTACAACTAACTTCATCTCTGAGTTGCTGCATTCACTTGAAATTATTGCCCACATTCCAGCCCAAGTTATAAGCCATTGCAACACTAGCCTTCTTAAAAACCACAAATTACACATGACACATCTTTCCTCATAAAATTTAAGAGCTCACAATTATATATATATTATTTTAATATATAATTTTTTTTCTCCAACTTTTTCAGCACTGTCTTCCCTAATCAGTTGTCTTAGTTGTTTTTATTATTGTTGTTGCTAATTTTAAGTTCCTGTTGTTATGTACCTGTAATGAATTTCTCCCAATTGATTGTAAGGACAGATATTATGTTTTCTTTCTTTGCAAAACTTCTGACTGAGAGGTTTACATGTGTTGCAGTTTAATCATGTGCTGTTTGTTTGATTGATAATTAATTTTCTCTGCCTGTTTTGTTCAGTTGTTAAATCCAGGGTGCTAATGAAGTCAGCCAGGATCATAGCTCAAGCTCTATATGGGATAATTAGCTGCTTTTTGTGTGTATGTGTGGTTTAAGAGTATTTATTTGATAAACTTCTGTGGCTTGCACTTCAATATTTCATCAACTGCAAAAATAAGGAAATTCATGAGCCTAATATGCTTTTGAAATAATAACTATGGTTCCTAAAAATGTACATCCATATAGTTGAAAATGAACATTTTTTAAGAAAGTTCAAGCTTATTCAAGCATTGTTTAATCTCACAAAATATATGAATATTGTTGGGAATATTTCTATTACGCAAGAGTCTTCAATTTACCAAAGGACTCAACACTAGGCTCTTTTCAAAGTTTTAATTATTTGTTCCAGTCTAAAGAGGGGTTACAAGTCATGCTGTACTCACACAGTTGCCTCTGTGCAACCATGTGGATGAGAGGACACATCAAAAGGAGGGAGTTCTACAAACATGTGGAGCTGACAATGGACGGATGCCCCTTAGAAAAGACTTCAGAACAACAACCAGTCAGATATAAAGACCCTCAAATTTAAGGGGCAGATCTCATCTATGTATACGTGTTTTTTTTCTCCCTTTAAACCCACTCAGTTACACTGAAAAACATGTCATAACAGTGAATCCTTCAAAGGGTCTGGGAGAGTCCCTATGGTTACTTTCTGAAACACTGGTATTCTCTTAATGGAGAAATCTTCCAGGGAAGGAAAGGAGGAATTTAAAATATCCATAAGTATTCAAGTTAGGTTAACAGACTTGTCAAGGCAAAAGCAAACTGGTGTTCTTCAAGTTTTGAGGCTAAGAAAGTTTTGGCTACAGGATTTCCTTTTCAGCTAGAAAATACACCCTGCTATTCCAGAAGGATAGAAGGCAGCACAGGGAAGTCCCAGCCTCAGAGGGTCAAGCATGCTATCCCATCCTGCATCTTTTCTTCCTTCCCGACTTCATTCTGGCTACATGGCTAAGTAAAACATTCCAACTTACATTTCCAAACTTTTTAAAAAATTGTTTGAAGAGCAACATAATAAATGCAAATAACTTGAACTTAAATGCTGTTCTAATTTTAACTCTATTTTTGGTTGTTAAAATAAAAACAAAACCTACAAACACACAGTCCCAGAGTTTTCTCAAACCAATCAACAGTTTTTGGCAACGTTGGAGTGAGTAATGTGGCTGCCATGCTAATTAACATTTTTAAGAAATGTAATTAAAGTGGTGAGATAGGAAAATAACTAGAAATGTTAAAGAAGTTCATTTGAAAGAAACTGTCATATGTTAAACCTTATACATCTTAAAAAAATTTTACAGCATGTAAACAGTAATTTTAATATAAGTTATGAAACAGATGAATAGTCAACTGTAGTCTCATTTTGATGGCAAAAATACAGAGGATACACAAAAATGGCACTGTCCATTAAATAAGTTGAGTGAGGTGTTGATAACCCTGCAATCAATAATTTTCTTTTCATGTACCACATTTCAATTTTATATATTATCCATCATTTCACTAAATTAAAAATAAACTTCAACTTTGATAGTTCAGGCAGAAAACCAAATACACAGGAACTAGAAATTTGATAAAACTTTTGAGGAAGACTCATATACATCAAGTTAGCTAGTCCTGTTAAAAGGCAGCTATAAAAATATACATTATCACAAGATATACAGAACTTTAGAATTCAGTTAAGGTCGGAGAAAGCCTGGAACTTCTTAATGTACCGGGAGTGCACCGTAAACCCAAAGGCAGAAGCATCTTAGGAGCGTTTCAGCATTCTGGTATATTCCAAGGTTATGTAGTGTGTGATCTCTCTCTAAGACACAGAGAGCATTTCAGAAGGTGCCACAGCCAGGAAGCCTCTGAGGGCGCCCGGGCGTTACACTTGATCTCGCCGGTGGGCCAGCCTCTGGGACAGCTCGTCCTGCTCCGCCGAGGCCACGCTCGTGCCCACAGAGTGGGTCTGGCCCTGCGGCAGCTCCATGTTGAGGTCCAGGCGGGCCTCGCCTGCCATTTCCTGGAGCAGCATATCCACTTGTCTCTGGGGAGTGGTCAGCGTCGTCGTGCTGCTCATCAGTCGAGTCTTCCATCTGCTGCGTCTGGACGTCCAGCATCTGGAACTGGTGCTCGAACTTGTCAGTCAGGGCGGAGATCTTCTCCAGGTTCATGGTCTTCAGCGTCGCATCCATCGACTTCACCACCCGGACCGTGGACTTGGTCACCTTGCCCATCGTCACGGCCGTCTGGACCCTGGCGGCCACCGCATCGACCCGCGCACTCATTCTCAGGAAATTCACGGCCTGGGTCTTCTGCCGAATGGCATTTTCGGCGTGGATCTTCGCCACTTCCATGTTGCCCTTCTGAATGGCCTTTTTGCTTTTGGCCTTCTCAGCCTTCTCCTCTTTGTCACATTTCTTGACGAGGCCTGGGGGACACGCGCGGAAGGGAGGCGGAAAGGAGCGGGGCTGCCGCTCCTTTTGGGACAATTAGCTTTTGCTAATTTCATAACCGCATGTGTACTCTGCCCAAAATCAACATTGCCAGAAAGCATGTGTTGGGACACAGAGTGAGTAGTGAAGCACAGGTTGAGCTTTAGGCTAGCAACATTTTATATCTACTGCTAAAGGTAAAATGTCTTGAAAGAAAGGACTTTGCTGTACATTTTCATGTATAAGAGACAGCTAGTCCTTAGATTGTTTAACAATTCTGGCTCAGTCTAACTTTCATTATGTAATGTTCTTTGTGCTTTGCTACAGTCTTTGTTTTAAAGTATATTTTGTCTGATATGAATATTTCTACCCCAACTTTCTTTTTGTTTTCATTTTTATTTAATATATTTTTCTCTTTCTTCACTTAAAGTTAGTGTATGTCTTTATGTCTGGAGTGATCTCTTATAGGCAGCTTATGTATGGGTCTTTTTTTTTTTTTTAATCCATTCAGCCACCCCAAAGACTTTTGGTTGGAACATTATATCCATTTACATTTAAAGTTATAATTGACTAGAGGCCCACTGGACAAAATTTGTGCATGGTGGGGGGGGGGGGTCCCCACAGCCCAGCCTGAACCTTCTCAAATCCATGACCTCTTGGGTGATGTCTGATGGCCGCTTTGATCCCCGGCCTAAACCAGCAGTCATAAATCCCTATCAAGTCCGGACCACTGGCTTCTAACTGCTCACCTGCCTGCCAGCTTAATCACCCCTTATCTTCCCCCCCGCCCTCATGCCAGCCTGGTAATCCTCAACTGCCCCCTTGCCACTGGTTTGGTTGCCCCCAACTGCCACCCACCCTGCTGGCCTGGTAGCTCCACTCAGCCGCTGTTCAGTCATTCACAGCTTGCTGTTCAGTTGTCTGTCCCATGATGGCCCCTGGCTTTTTATATATTAGGTTAGGGATATGCTTATTGTCATTATATTAATTGCCTTATGTTTGTTTTTTGTAGTTCTTTTCTGATCCTTTCTTCTTGTGTACTCTTACTTTGATGGCTTTCTTTATTTTTGTTTGGATTTCTTTCTCTTTATTTTTTTGTATATCTATATAGGTTTTTGGTTATCTTCAAATTTATAACTTCCTGTTTATATAAAGTTTATTTTTATTTTTTGGTCACCTAAGTTCAAACACATTCTAAAAGCATTACATTTATACATCTGTCCTCCAGGTTTTGTTCCTACTGTCATATTTTACATCTTTGTGTGTGTGTGTGTGTGTGTGTGTGTGTGTATGTGTGTGTGTGTGTGTGTGTGTGTGTGTATGAATTCTTAGCTTATTATTATTGTATATACCTAGGGGCAGGGGTGCCCCTAAGCTCAGCCTGCCCCCCCTCACAGACTAGGGTCCCTCAGGGGATAATCTTATGAGGATTTCTTTGTATATAATATATTGTTGTTGTTTTTCTTGCTGCTTTTTCTCCCTTTGTATTTAACTTTTAGTTTAATTTTGACATCACTTGGTGTGCATCTTCTTGTTTAGGACTCTGTGCTTCCTATACTTGGATGTCTGTTTCCTTTGTTAGGATAGGCATATTTTTTTTTTAGTAGGTTCTTTTTGTCCCTTTCTACTCTCTTCTTCATCTGGAACACCTATAATGCAACTGTTAGTATGTTTGATGTTATCCAGATGTCCCTTAAATTCTCCTCATTAATTTTTTTAATTTAATAAATCTTTATCTTTCAGATTATTGCAATTATTCCTCTTGTTTTCCCACATAGCTTCACTCCACCCAGTTCCTACCCGACCCTCTGCTCTTACCCTTCCCCCCACCCACTCTCCTCATCCATAGGTGTACAATTTTTGTTGAGTTTCCTCCGGCATCCACCATACCCCTTTCCCACTGAGAATTGTCAGTCCACTTCCTTTCTATGCCCCTGATTCTATTATATTCACCAATTTTTTGGTTCATCAGATTTTTTTATTCACTTCATTTTTAGATTCACTTGTTGATACATATGTATTTGCTGTTCATAATTTTTATCTTTACCTTTTTCTTCTTCTTCATCTTAAAGAAACCTTTAAGAAAAAGGTATATATGATATACCTTTCAGCATATCATATAATACTGGCTTGGTGGTGATGAATTCCTTTAGCTTTTTCTTATCTGTGAAGCTCTTTATCTGACCTTCAATTCTGAATGATAGCTTTGCTGGATAGAGTAATCTTGGTTGTAGGTTCTTGCTATTCATCACTTTGAATATTTATTGCCACTCCCTTCTGGCCTGCATAGTTTCTGTTGAGAAATCAGCTGACAATTGTATGGGTGCTCCCTTGTAGTTAATTAACTGGTTTTCTATTGTTGTTTTTAATATTCTCTCTTTGTCTTTTGCTCTTGGCATTTTAATTATGATGTATTTTGGTGGAGTCCTCTTTGGATTCCTCTTGTTTGGGGTTCTCTGCACTTCCTGGACTTGTAATTCTATTTCTTTCACCAAGTAGGGGAAGTTTTATGTCATTATTTCTTCAAATGTTTTTTTTAGTATCTTGCTAACTCTCTTCTTTTGGCACCACCATAATTCTGATGTTGGTACGCTTGAAGTTGTCCCAGAAGCTCCTTACACTATCTTAAAATTTTAGAATTATTTTTTCTTTTTGTTTTCCCAGTTGAGTGTTTTTTGTTTCTTTGTATTTGCTTCTTTGACTTGATTCTTGTTATCCTCTAATCTGCTGTTAGATTTCTGTATAATATATTTTTTTTATTTCAATCAGTGTATGCTTAATTTCTAGTTGGTTCTTTTTCATATTCTCCAGGGTATCACTAAATTTATTGGCCTTTTCTAGAAAATTCTTGAAAAACCTCATAACCTGGTTTTGAACTCTATATCCAGTCATTTGTTTTCCTCCCTTTCTTTCATTTGTGATCTGTTTCTTTGTCTCCACATTTTTGCTGCTTACCTGAGTTGACAGAGTGGCTTTGTGTGCTAGGTGTCCTATATGACCCAGTGACTCAGCCTCCCCAGTTACCTGAGGTGGACACTCTTGATGCTGTGGGCTCTGTGTACAGCATTGTTGTAGTTAAGTCTTGATTGTTGTTGGTATCACTGGAAGGAATTGACCTCCAGGCCAGTTGGATGTGAGGATCAGCTGTGTCTATGCTGGGAGAACTTCTCTGATGGAGACACCCTTATGATACAAGACTTACAAAAGCCTCTGTGTTCAGCTTGGGTGGGGCAGAGACTCAGGGCAGAGTAGACAGCATTGATTTCCTGTCATCCCTGCACTAATAGGCCCCTGAGTCTCAGTCTCCAGTGGTAATTGGTGCAAGCACCTCTGAGAGAAAGCCACCCTCGAGTTCTGGCCACTGCCAGACAGTCCAGTTTCTCCCTGAATGAGTCTGTGTCCCCAGAGTCTTGCCCAGAACAGGAGTTCAGTACAGTCGGGAGCTTTTGTCTCCCACCCACTTGAGAAAGCCAGCCACACACTCAGTTGCCAGTCCTCTCTGCACTGAGTCTTGGTATCTCTGCCTCCTGGCACTTCGCTGAGTCTCAGTGTGCTTTTTTCTTTCCTTCTAGTTACTATAGAATTTCCACTCAGCTAGTCTTCCTGTGGTTCTGAATGATATCCATTTGGTCTTTTAGTTGTAGTTTTGAAATTGTTGTGCAAGGCAGCAGTTTAGGTGTTTACTTATGCCAATATCATGGTTTATCTCTCCTCATTAAAAGTTAAGAAAGAAATTTATTATTTCAATTAGATAACTTCCACCTTCTTGTCTTCTATGATCCATTTGTCTGCATTATCTAATCTTCTGTTGATTCCTTCTAGTGTATTTTTCTTTAATATATTGTATTCTTCAGTTCTGATTTTTTATATATATTCTACCTATTTTGAAGGTCTACTGTATTTATCCATGCTTTTCTTGTGTTCATTGAGTATCCTTATGACCATGGTTTTGTGCTCTTATTTTGTAGACTGCTCATATTCAGTTTAATTTTTGAAAAATTAAATTCTTTATTGTTTAGAGTCTTACATAAGTCTCCTTTTCCTCCCTTGACCTCTCCCCACCTGTCCCCACATACCTTCACCCACCCATCTGCATCCATTGGTTATGCTTATATGCATGCACACAAGTTCTTTGTTGATCTCTTTTCCACCTCACCCCCACCTTTCCTTCTAGGTTGGACAGAAAATATTTACGTGATGTATCACATTTGTTGATTGTGAGTGCTTTTGGTGCACTACTGAGTCTGCTCTGACTGTTCCAGGTATGCTGGTGGGCAGGTCTGGCCCCTGATCTAGCTTACTATGAGGCCTGGCCACCACTGATGTGGGTATAGGATGTCATTGGCTATAGAGTTTGTCCATGACTGTTGCTGGTGTGCAAAGCAAATCTCCACTGTGGGTGGCTGTGAGGCCTAGCTTCTACTGAACAAGTGTGTTGGTGTCTGGGTGCTAATACTTTTAACCTGCTTTGGGGTAAATCCAGTACTATATGCTTAGGTGCTAGTGGAATCACCACTTTGGGGACTCATTAGGCACCTGCTGAGTGCTAGATCATGGGTGCTACTCTGGGACTTGCCTTAAACTCTGCTGAGTCCTGAAGAGTAGGGTGCTACTTTGAAGGATAGCCAAATACTGGAGTCAGGAAATGAGTTAGGAAATCATCTTGGGCTTTTGCCAAGTATTGGGAGGTGGGATATGGCCTTCAAGGCCCTCCCCAGGGCCTGCAGGATGCTAGAGGGCAGGAGTATGGAGTGTACCTTTGGACCTGAAGGGTAGGTTGCCACTGGAGAACCTGGCTGTTTTGGAGATCAGGGTGCCATTTTGGAGGTCTGCTAAGTATGGAGGGTTGGCTTCTAGTGCGGAGGTTTGCTGGATTCTGTGGAATCAGGTGCCACTTCAGGTGTATGCTGGTCTAGGTGGTTCTTCCTGGACTGCTGTGCAGACCAAACATTTATAAGGCTAATGGAAAGTATTGGTCTTGTCACCGACAATCACAGACAGTCATGGAGGAGGGAGGGCAATAAACAAAGAATGGTACTCACCAGTGACTGTTTTGGAGAGAGCTGGAGCAGTTCTGACACATAACCTTCATATATGACCCAAGTGCCTTTCAACCTGCTGTCTCTTTGCTGAGACTCAGTGAGATCCCTGGGGTGTCTCTTCCCAATGCAGCTCCCCCTGGCTGAGGACTCTGAAGTTCAACTTGTAGCCTCACTTTTGATTGGGTGGCTTTCTATGGTTATGATAGCCTTCCCATTTGTGGGACCTTCTTATCTATTTCAATGTATTTTTTTTATTTTTTATTCACAGTTGTTGAGAATCTGTTCTGCTAGTTTTCAGATAACTCACAGAGAAGATTGCTTTATATTTAATAGTAGTTTTGATGTATCTGTGGGAGGAGTTGAACCAAAGATCTTCCTTCTTTGCCATCTTAATCCCTTCCCTTAACAATTCTTTTTTAATTGCTCTTTTAATTCTTATTTCTTTTTCTTTATCACACTATTATTTTCTTTACTTAGGCTTCTATAATTTCTTTTTTATATTATGGAATTATTCTCTTTGCTGGTCTTCTTATCTCTAATATCGACCTTCCTCAGTTCCTTTGTTCCATTGCAGCCTTAGTGATTTTTCTAAATTGTAAATTGGACCATGTCACACCCTGTTTAAAAATTTTCCATGATCTCCCCAAACATTCAGAATACAATTATGGTTTCTTAGATTATATGCAAGGCTTTCCTAATCTGATTCCTACAACTTTCTATGGGAAGTATCCTTGATTTGTCTACATTCTTACCAACCATCCTCCCCTAAAATAAACTAAGTGCTTATTGTTGAATGGAGCAGAGACCACCCAAGAGGCAGAGACCCCTACCCGGGAAACAACTCCAACTACCCAATTGCGGAGTCAAATAACAAATTTTATTACAGATTTGAATCTGGGCTGCCGCCACCAGGATGGAGCAGGCAACAAACAGCAGCAAGCAGTTACAAATCCAGCTTTTTATGCACATTTCAAATAAGGGGGTGGAGGTCGTTTTTATATCGCTTAACCTTGTGGTTGCATGCATCGGCCAGATGGCCTAATCTCTTGGTTTGTTCTGTTATTTTAGCCTTGACTAATCCAGACTATTGATTTGGCCTTCAGCCTTGACTAACCCAGACTATTGATTTGGCCTTCAGGTCCAGGAGGGGGAGGGAGTAGTAACTTTCTACCCTCCAGGCAAGGTCAGTAATTTTCCACTCCTCATTCCCCACTGCTTTTAGTTCCTTTCCTGAGGTCAAATCCTTGGCTTCCTTTTTTTTGCAAGCAAACACTGTTCCACAAGGGAGAAGTCTGCGGTTAGCGACACTTATATCTGGGTTTCATCAGTTAGGGAAATTCTTCTATACTGGGATGCTAAGGCAAGGAGCTTAATGGCTTGGATATGATCCTTTACAAAAGCCATGAGGCGGTTAATAATGATCGGCCCACATGTTAAGCCTAGAAGGAGTAGAAGAACAGGTCTTGCCAGGGTGGATATCAGGGTCGTCAGCCAAGGTGACCAATTAAATAGCCCTTCAAACCACCCCTGTTGTTCTTCTCTTTCTACTCTCCCATTCCCTTGCACATGTAGCTTTACTTAGCCCCGGACTTTCTCACTGGCTAGCAAAAATGTTCTTACAGTTACCAAAACCGCCAGTACCACAGTTCCCATTAGTACTGTCCTCACTGAAGTCCAGTTCCCCTCCTGCAGGCATCAAGTCTCCTCCTAGGCCAGGCTAGGGATCTCGCAGGTGAGGCCGCTGGTTGCCAGGATCCAGGTTGTTTCCTTTGCAGGAGCTGGGAGTGGTGTAGCCAGGTTTGGGTGCCGTCTACTTCAACAGCTGTGGGCGTGCTCAGGACAACAGTGTAGCGTCCCCTTTCAGGTTGGGGTGAGTCCTTGGACAGTGAACTTCTTTACCCACACAGAGTCTCCGGGCTGGAAGGGGTGTACACGGTCCACGGGGGGCACTGGCAGTGTATCTGGAACAAGCTTATGGGTGGCTCTCTGGATAAATTGCAGCGCCTGTAAGGACTTGAGCAAGGGAATGGTTATGAATTCTAGCTTTCAGTTTCTTCCTGACCCTGGGAAGGAAGGAGAGGAGGTCTACCATACATGATCTCAAGAAAAATGGGGGGGGACCCATCCCAGTAGGAGATACACCTGGCCCATAATAGGGCGAAGGGCAGGGGGTTGGTCCAATTTTCACCGGTTTCCAGGAAAAACTTAATTAAACTTTTTAGAGTTCTACTCAGGCCTATCCTAAGGCTTGAGCTATACTCTGAAATACCTTGTTACAAAGGCTGGGCTGTTATCTGATCCTATGACTACTGGCAGCTCGAATCTAGGTATAATCTCCTGAACTAATTTCTTGACTACTTCAGAGGCAGTTTCTATCCTATGCTTCAACCTAATCTGAGAAGGTGTCTATACCTTAATGTTGGTGATGACGGCAGGACATCTGTCAGTACTGCATCTGTTACCTCTATGCCATCATGAATGGGCTCCTCTGGATCATCTAGAAGCAGGCTGGCAGGGTTGATGGCCAGTGTCTTATGGAACCAGACACATGGCTGGTCCAGGAGAAGAGCTCGGCACCGGGTGATTCCGGTGTTCGACATCCATCCGTCCGGAGCACCCGATGGAGGGTCTCAACGGCACGGGGCTCCATCAGGGCCAGTTCCTGGCCCAGAGCCCGCTTATCCACCTCCTTCACCAGCAATGCCGTGGTGGCCACTGCCCAGAAGCACACTAGCTGCCACAGGGTCCAGCCTCTTAGACAGATAGGCAACAGGTCTCTTCCAGGGACCCAAAGTCTGAGCGAGAACGCCCCTGGCAATGCCCCCCACCTCACTCACGTAGAGGTGACATCTGGCAAGGCTAGGGCAGGTGCTGAGACGAGAGCCTTCTTTAGCTCCTCAAAGGCCCGTTGTTCTACTTCAGTCCAGTTCAGCGGCTGCGTTCCTCCAGTACGTGTTCCTTCTTAGGTCTACAGTCCTTCTTGATGTCCAAGAAAAACAGTCAGTTTGTCTGGTGGCTCCCTGGACTGATATCTTCCTAGAGGTCCCATCGGCTCTGTCAAGACTGAATAAACTGCCCAGTGCTCACCAGGAAGTTAATAGCTTTGCCTCTCACTTGTAAGGTTACCCTTGGGAGCTTAATTGAAAGGAGCCCTGGTCCCGTCAGTCTTCTTCCTCGAGGTTAAAAACCCTTGGAATCTAAGTCTCCCTTTCTTTCAGATTGTCTCTGTCACTTCTGGCCTCACCTTTTGTCTCTCTCCCTCTCTAATCTCTGTCCTTTCCTGTCTCTTGCTCATGTCTTTCTCCCTTTTTCACATACACATTTACACTTATACACCCATATCACTTTCTCTTCCAATCTTTGTTTCTGCTTCTGTAAATCCTTCCCTCTCGGACTCCCAGAGTCTCTTTCTTAAGTCTCTGTTTCATTCTTTCCCTCTCTCCCAGTTTATCCTTCTCATCACATGCACAACTTTCATAAAAACTTTCACTATTTTACATTAGCTTTTAAACCTTCTTTTTATGTCCTTCAAAAATCTATAACCATACCTCAAATCTTCCATTATTTTAAAATATTTAGAAAAGGCAGAGGGAAGAGTGAGCAGATCCAGCACTTTGTTCCCAGGCCTCCACCTCTTGAAATTTAAGCTGCCACATTCTTCCTACAGATAAAGATCTCAGATTCCCATAAGACCAAAAAGGGGAACAAGAGAATTTTTAGCTGCGCCTTTAAGGCCCCTAACAGAAAACGGTGAAAAGTGTCCAAGCAGTCACGGGGGGTCAAATCATGTTTTGTTTTAACACAATTCTAAATAAATTATAAACCTTTGTGATGAAGTCTACTTAAATCTATAAAGTAGACACACATGACTGAAACAAAAATGATTCCCAAAGTTTAAACAAAATACAAGATGCAGGTACAAGCCCAAATTCAAGCTTATAATACAATTAGAAATTATAACAATGGCATATGAGAAAAGCAAAACAAAACAAATTAATATGGCTATCACTTTTTCTACATTAAGAGAAAAATATATGACTTGGCCTACTTCTTCACAATAGGCACACTATAAATTTCCAGCAAATTTACTTAGGTCTGTATGAAACAACCTGGATAAGGCTCAAGCACCATTTAGATTCCTCATCTGACAAATGCGAATAAATCAATCCTTGAGATCTTTGATCATTACTGCTTATTCTTAACACATGTAATACAGTTTAGCCTGCCATATTCTAGGCATTTAGTTACTGCAATTAACTTTTCCTAATTTAATTTATACTTTGAACTTTTAAAGCTGGCAAGTAAAATATATTTGGCATTTTTTTTTCCTTCAGATTAATAACATTACATTTCTCAATTATAATTCATACTTAAGTAGCTATATGACCCTGCTTAGCTGATACCAATGACAAAGACTAAACATTGTAAGCAAGGCCATCAGGGCATCTTCACCATGGAATTACCTGCCACTCCCTGTAGATCACTGGAGTAGCATTCAAATGCAAATGAACACATTCTTTAGCTTAGGGGTGTCGAACTCAATCAGAGAAGGGGCCAAAATCTTAAATCCAGCCTAAATCGCGGGCCGAATGGTTTACTGAACAGTCATAAACTGTCATTGTGATGGAAACGCAGCGGAGTGCAGTGATGACAGCGTGGTTCGGGCCACATTGCAAGGCCTGGCGGGACGGATTTGGCCCGCGGGCCTTGTGTTTGACACATGTGCTTTAGCTGAAGACTCCCAGCCATTCCTGTAAACTTGTTACCAGTATCATCTAGGTAGTTTCCGCCTCACGGTGGGGAATTTCAAAAGCTGGTGGGGAATTATCTGCTGCCTCCAGCTATTCAAAACAACCCCTGGAGGGAATAGACACCAGGTGGGCTGAGGCAGGGAGCACAGGGGTCCGAGGGGTCCCAGGTGTCGAAGGAGGTGCTTCCACCAGGGCTTTTTCATCTGGCAGTTCGCCGCTTGCCTCTTGCTAGCGAAGGTGCCTTGGGAGAACCGGTGACCCCTCCACTGCAATCACACTCCCTGAACTTTCTGACAGGCTCTTACTGATTTTAAAATTATAACTTGAGTTGACACACATACAAGGACCAAGAGGCCCACAAAATATTTTCCTTTTCCTTTAAAGATTTTACAATGTACTGTAATCATTAATTACATTAAACTTAAATGCCTAATTGAAACAAACAGTTCTGAGACCGTTCCTCCACCACTGATGAAGACTGGGTGGAGGCAGGTGTCTGAAATAAGATTCATTTAATTTTTGAGCTTGCTGGGCAGACTTGGTGACTTTGCTAGCTTAAGCTTCCTTCTTGTAAATAGTTAACTTTAGAATTTGGTCTCTGCTTTTAATTTTTTTGTACCACAATTGTTACAATTTCATACCTTCAAATCAATAAACATAGACATAAATATTGTTAGGTGGGCTGATACCCCTCTGATAAAAAGCAAAGTACCCCTGGGAAAAAGGAATCCCAGTGGCCATTCGGGGCGGTTTGCTAGCCCTCAGAGCACTCAGCTTTAAACAAATTAAAGGTTTCTTTCCCAATTTTCCTTTGTCAGGGAGACAACCACACTCCTTCAGCCATTTGGGGTTATCAAAAAGAATATCAATCCAAATATCAATGTAGGGAATTTGGTTCGGATGCCTGGGGCTTCCATAGACTATCCGCCTGACTCCAGTACAGGGCCCCATGTCTAGGGTCCCTGTTGAAGGCCAATCAACCCCAAATCTCGGCCACTCCAACTTACAGAGTCTCCAGAGAGTGAAGGCATCTACAGAAACACCATAGCCTTCACCCCGTTTTCTGAAGTCAGAAAAAAATTTTAATCATACATTTAAAGGGACTTAGGTGACTCTCCTTCGAGTTTCCTTGCCCCATTTCTCTCTTTCTTCCCAATCTAAAAACAGTTAGGCAACAAATAAGTCCAAAACAAGGACGACAAGTAACATTCCTAGAAACACACACACACACACACAAAAAAAAAAAACACACCAGACATACCACAGCATCTCTTTCACACTTCCACCCACTCGAACACCAAGAAACCAAGACCGCAGGTGGGGCATCCCCCACCCCGGCCAGATCTGAGAACTTCTGGCAGCGTCCCTCCGTTCTCAGATCCCAATCGCTCCCGAGCAACCAAGAACAAGAAACACAAGGAACAAATGAGGCCTCTACTTACCTGCGCCGTTCAAGTAGTCCGGACAACAAGAATGGGGCATCTGCCCGTCTGGGGGTCTCTAATCCCGGACGAGACCCCAAATGTTGAATGGAGAAGAGACCACCCAAGAGGCAGAGACCCCTACCCAGGAAACAACTCCAACTAGCCAATTGCGGAGTCAAATAACAAATTTTATTACAGATTCGAATCTGGGCTGCCGCCACCAGGATGGAGCAGGCAACAAACAGCAGCAAGCAGTTACAAATCCAGCTTTTTATGCACATTTCAAATAAGGGGGTGGAGGTCGTTTTTATATCGCTTAACCTTGTGGTTGCATGCATCGGCCAGATGGCCTAATCTCTTGGTTTGTTCTGTTATTTTAGCCTTGACTAATCCAGACTATTGATTTGGCCTTCAGCCTTGACTAACTCAGACTGTTGATTTGGCCTTCAGGTCCAGGAGGGGGAGGGAGTAGTAACTTTCTACCCTCCAGGCAAGGTCAGTAATTTTCCACTCCTCACTTATATTTTACAATTCTATAGGTAAAATATCATTAGAATGTATTTTACAATTATATAGGTAGAATACTATTGGGTCGGCAAGTAAGTAATTGCGGGTTTCACACATATATGGCTTCAGTTGAATTTTTAGGTTTGCAGACGTAGTAAAAATGTAAAACACATTTTGTTATTTGATAGTTGGCTATTCAGCTGTTAATCAGTAAAAAAAGTTTTTTGATCTGTTTTGTAGTTTTCGTTTGGCGTTCGTTGAAAAATGGAAAATCAAAAGGAACATTTTCGTCATATTTTGATTTTTTATTTCCACAAAGGGAAAAACGCATCGCAAACTCATAAAAAGTTATGTGCTGTTTATGGTGACGAAGCCTTAAAAGAACGGCAGTGTCAAAATTGGTTTGCCAAATTTCGTTCTGGTGATTTTTCACTCAAAGATGAAAAACGCTCTGGTTGTCCAGTTGAAGTTGATGACGCCCTAATCAAAGCAATAATCAATTCGGACTGTCACAGTACAACACGTGAGATTGCAGAGAAGCTTCATGTATCACATACATGCATTGAAAATCACTTAAAACAACTTGGCTATGTTCAAAAACTCGATACATGGGTTCCTCACGAACTGAAAGAATCACAGTTAACGCAACTCATTAGCAGCTGCGATTTGCTAAAGAAACGTAATGAAAATGATCCATTTTTAAAACGACTGATAACTGGCGATGAAAAATGGGTTGTTTACAACAATATCAAGCGGAAAAGATCGTGGAGCAGGCCAGGTGAACCAACTCAAACAACATCAAAAGCTGATATTCATCAAAAGAAGGTTTTGTTATCAGTTTGGTGGGATTACAAAGGAATTGTCTACTTTGAACTCTTACCACCCAACCGAACGATCAATTCTGATGTCTACATTGAA